CTCAGTGAGGTTGCGGCTGGCCACGAGGCCCTGCAGCGCCATGCGAGCGCGACGGGCGACGGGGGACTTCGGGGGGGGTTGGCGGCGCCCGCGGTAGCTCTGCTGTCGGTGTTCTGGAGTGGTCAGACGCTCGTGTCTTTGGGGGCTCAATCGGCGGTGAGCTCGCCCGTGAGGTCGTCGCCCATCGGCAGGAAGGCAGAATCGGAGTAGTTGGGGTCCTGTGGGCCCGAGTGGCCCGAGTAGGGTAAAACCGAGCGGTCCTCCAGGATGTCCTCGGCGACTTGCGTGCCAGCCGCGCGGGGTGCGGCAAGCGGTCGGGGCCGGGCGCCGAGGGCGTGGTGTGTGGGGAAGGGGCGGGTCTGAGAATGGCTCGGCGCGCCGACTTCGATGGCGGTGCCCGTCGGCATGCGGTCCGCGATGCGCTGCTCTACCGTGGCCTCGCCCACCTCCGTCGCGGCGAAGACGGGCTGCCGGCGGGCGCGGAGGGGACCGACCGCGGCGCGGCGCTCTCTGGCTCTGAGGGCCCCGGAAGGCCGCGGAACTGGACCCCTTGGAGGGCGAGGCGGCGCCTCCCGGGGGCCCGCCGAAGGGCGCGCCGCTCGGTGGGCCGCGGGGCCCGACGGAGTTCCTCGAGGTCGAGCGCGTCAGCCTGCCCTGCGGGGCGCGGGGCGGCCTGCCGCGCCAGAGAGCGCCGCCGCGCCGCCGGGTCGCGGCGCGGCGCGGGCGAGGGTCGGCGGCGACGCGGCGTCGCTCGCGAGGCCATGGGTGCTGCTGCCGAGGGCGGGGCGCTGGGCGCCCATCTCGGTGGCGGCGCGGGGCCCGCGTGCGACTTCGGCGTCTTGGCGCCAGATGGCTGGCGAGATCGAGCGGGCTGTGCGCGACGAGCCATCCAGAGGGCCCGTCGTGTTGGGCTCGCAGGTGGGGCGGCGCGCCCAGTCATCGCGGGCGAGCTGCGCGGCCCCGTCAGTGCAGCTCTCGTGCGTGCGCCGCTGGTTCCCGATCGGATCGGGGCGCGCTGGTCTTTGGTGGCGTCGAGCATCTGCTGCAAGTGCGCCTGGTAGGTCGGGCCGCGGAACATGGGGTGTGAGACGGCTTGCTCGAGCAGCGGCGTCTTCGGCGCAGTGGCAATGGATGCGGCGATGATGGCGTGGTCGCTGGTGCGGCTGTCGGGCAGGGCGGCGGGGTCGTGGGCGGTCGCGACGTTCGCGGAGAGCTCTTGCATGGCATTGGACGGCGATGTGACGCGGGTGCAGTCGATGGCGGGCGCGGTGAAGTTTGCCCCGTTGAAGCGCATGGGCAGGTCCGACTTGATCTCAGGCATCGCGTCGAGGAGGGGCTTCCAGAACGGCTGCCGTTGTCGAGAACGGTTGCCCATCGCCGGGCGGGCGCGCTGCGGCCGAGGCTGCAGGGGGAGCTTTTTCGGCGGGCGGCTGGCGGTGTTGAGCCCCCCCGCTGCTGTGAAGGTGCGGTTGCGGTCGTTGGCGTCGGCCCAGGTGCGGCGTGGCTGCCGTGCCTGGCGGACCTTCTCACGGCCGTGGGCGTCGATGTCGCGGTTGTGCGCGTTCGTGGTGGCGACGGCGCTGCGAGCGACGGCTCTGATGGCGGCGGCGAGCTGAGTGCGGCCAGCGGCCACCTCTTCGCGTGGGCAGATCGGCAACTGGCGCGGCTGCAGTTGCTCGGGCTGCATCGGCGTGCGCCGCGAGGTGGGCGTGGCGACGCCCCCGGTGGCCTGCGAGGGGTCGCCGCAAGCGTGCTTGAGCTCGGGAAAGAAGGGATTGCGCGGGCGCGGCTGGGTGTACGCCCAGATGCGGGGTAGGGCCTCGGAGCCGTGGGCCTTCTGGATCATGATGCTGCGCTGGCGCTTCGTGAACTTGGCCATGGCTGCCTGCTTCCGGCGGAGCTTCCTGCGTTTGTAGCGCATGGGGGCCCGAACGTGTCACGTTGCGAACGTCGCCTGCTCGGTTGCCTCGGAGATCGGCCGCGAGGCCCAGAGGTGGCGAGGAACGCCGCGCTGCGGCCTCGGTGTCCGCAAAGAGGGCTTGGAAGGACGCGGGTGCGGCGCCGTGGTCGACGGACTGGAACTGCTCGAGCTCGGGCCCTTTTGATCTGCAAGGTGAAGCGTCTGGAGGGCCGGTCGCCGAGCAGTTCCACGTGGTTGGGCTGCGTGTTGGCTGAGGCGATCCACTCTTGCAGGTCGCTCAGGAGCAGGTCGGGTGCGATGGGGCGCTGGCTGCCGATGCAGAAGAGCGTCGCCTCTGCCACCCTGTCCCGAAGGTGACTGCTTGAGCTTGGAAGGTACTGGCTGCGCGTGCAGCTTGTTGCTGCGTGAAGCTCTGAAGGGCGGCGTCCAGATCTGCCGGTGGGCCTAGGGGAGGGCCGTGTTCCGCGGGTGCATCAGCAGCAGGGGTAGGTGGGCCAACGACTGCGGGGGCGGTGGCGGCGGCTGGAGCAGCGCGTCCGACAGGAAGCTGGGCGTGTCGTCAGCGCTCTTGAGACGGGACGGTGGCGAAGTTGACCAGCTCCTCGGCAAGATGGCGGCCGGCGCGGGCACCCCATGGATCTCCAGCGCCCGTGAGAGGGTCGGACACACGAGCTGCAGAGGTAAACAATGAAAACGAAACGGCGGGGCAAGCGGAGACCTCATCCGCGTTCTTGGCGAATGTCCCAACGGACGCTCCTGGTGAGGCTGGGCGGTCTGATGAGCGAGCTGGTCTCGCGGATGATCTCCCTGAAGGACGAGCGCCGCTAAGTTGGCTGTCTGCTGGGCCAGCACTGAATCCTGTGGCCCCCCTTGCGGCGAATGCACCACGAGTGGCTGCTTCAGGTTGACGGTCAAAAGGGGGCTCTTCGCGACGGTCCTGCTTGCGGGGGCGACGGCGGTCGCGAAAGGACGGCATGCCGCGCGAGGTAGAACGCTCACCGCCACTGGAGGATGCTGCTGCCATGACCTCGACAGGTACTCTATGAGCGGGATGTGGTTGATTTGCTGGAAGCCAGGCGCCTGGTGCGACTCGAAACCAACGCGGCTTAGCTGGGAACTGGACTCGACCACTGAGTATGGACGTGCTGGGAATGCGGCTCGGCCAGCGGACGCGGAAGTGCTGGGAGCGGGGCTCGACAAATAGAAGGCGGCCTGCAACGCCGTGAGTGTGAGCAAGAAAAGATTAACGAAAGCTAGCCGCGGACTAGCGGTATCCATGTGGAAGGCACGCCTAGAAACACCTTGAGCCAAAAAGGCTACGGAAGAGGAGGAGGGAGGAGGAAAAAGAGGAGCACGTCGATTTTTATTGGTATTCGCTCGTTTTGGCTATGTGGACCCTTGGAGAGGGAGGATAACGAAGATATGATGATGATGCTGATGCTGATGATGATGATGATGATGATGATGATGATGATGATGACGATGACGATGACGATGACGATGATGATGATGATGATGATGATGATGATGATGATGATGCTGATGCTGATGATGCTGATTGTGATGATGGTGCTGATGCTGCTGATGCTGATGATAATGTTGCTGAAGGTGATGATTCTGATTATGAGGGTGAAGATGCTGCTGCGGATGATGGTGATGATGCTACTGCTGGTGATTATGATGATGACGACGATGACGATGATGCTGCTGCTGATGATGCTGCTGCTGATGATGATGAGGAGAAGGAGGAGGGCGAGGAGGACGAGGAGGTGATGGTAGAGCAGCTCGGAGCCACATCGTTCAACTTCCGGACCACTACGGACAATTTCTCCCCCAGCGCCGGCTCCCCTCCCCGCTCTCTCTGGGCGGCGCCTCCGGCGCCTCCCCCCAGGGCGCGGTGGCGAGGAGCGGCTCGGGCGCTGGCGGGGTGACCGCCCGCGGAGGCCAGAAGATTCGGCGGTGGACAAACCTCACTTTAGTACACGTCGGTCGGAAGAAGTAGGTAGAATCATGAAGTAGGAAGGCGGATATAGTAGATTGGGTCCAGGTCCCCCCAGAGAATAACAAAACACAGCAAAAGCATGTCGATTCTTGAAGTAGGAAGGCGCTTGAAGTAGATTGGGATCTAGGAATCCAAAAATACCTACTTTCAACGACCGGCGTGTAAACCACCCTTTAATGAAAACGGCCTAGGACCGAAACCGACGGACCTGGACCCGCAAAAATGACGGCCGCGCCGCCCTCTCGCGAGCGGAAAACGGCCAACTCGCGAATGGACGTGTCAAGGCAGGAGGTCTATCAACTCCGAAAGATTGAAGCTGGTGTGGCTTCCCAGCTCTCAGCCAGGAAGCTGGAGGCAACTACTAGAGTTGAGTCGGGCCTGTCCCCCTACAGGACGATTTTGGATGACATATTAAACATAGTCAATAAAATACAATAAAATATTCAAAAATGGTCAAAACATCGTCCCCCGATTTTTTTGTTGGGGGGGGAATTTTCCCCCTGTCGAGGGACAGGCCCGACTTAAGACTAGAGGAACAAACACGACTTAAACATAAACGACATCCGCGCGGATGTCTGGGATCTGCGCTGAACACCCCTGGCGGCGCCTCCGGCGCGCTCCGCGCGCCAGGGAGGAGGGTCCAGCGCCGATCCAAGCAACCCGTGCGGACCTTCGCAAAATCATGTTTGCTTTGGCTTTGGTTCCTTGACAGACGGCTGCATCGGCGTGCGGGGCCTGCGGAGGCCGCGTGCTGGATAGACATGCGGATGGCTGGCCACACGTTCTCTCTGCCCTCGCCCGCGCCGGTCACGGCATGTGCGTCCAGCTTCCTGGGCAGGGCCCTCCACTCCTGACAAGAGGCTCGAGCCCTCGAGAGGCGCGCCAGAGCTGGCCAACTGATTGACCGAGGGCCGGAGCGCTCCGAGAGCGGGTCAGTCGTCGCGGCGGTCTGGTCGAGAGGCGAAGCTGAGCACCAGAGCGGTCCCGCGGCAGGCGCCGGCAACCCGCGCGCCGCAGGCGACAAATTAGTATTACTACAGGGCGCTCACCGGGTGCACAGGGTAGGCCGTGGGCGGTTCAGCTGCCGCTGAGGGCCCACGAAGGGAACCAGCCCTTGGCGGGGGCGGCGCTGCTGAGGGTGGAAGAGGAAGGAGCGGCACGAGCATACACTCTCAGAGGCTCGCGCGGACGTCTGAGATCGGCGCTGGGCCCACCTCCCTGGCGCGCGGAGCGCGCCACTGGCGGCTCCGGAGGCGCCGCCAAGGGGGCGCGCGTGCCCAAGAAATCCGCGCGGGGCTCCGACAGGTTATCAATGTGCCGCTGCTTCTTCGTCCAGATGAACAAGTCGAAGAGCCTCTTCTCGCCGTACACCCAACCTCGGGAGCCCACAACGGACGTACGCGCCCAACCACGTGCATGAACACGGCCCCCCAGACCGCAAGACCAGCCGCGTGATACGACCGTTCGCGCAATGCGTACTGTCGAAACCAACGTGTATTCGTCTACAGTCGGACCTAGGCCAGAAGAACATACCTCAAGAACATGGGACCCTCCGCCAGCCCAAACTGAAGCACATTCGAGGGTGCCCTGCCCCAGGATGCACAATAACATCCAACAAACACGAAGAAGATCAGGGTACCCTCCCCGAGCCGACCTCGATCTTATACCTCGGTCCTGCTGTACGTGTCTGCTCTTTTTTCACTCATGACAACCGCTGGGCTGGCGGTCGAGCACCCAGACGAGGTCGCCCGGCTCCAGCGCGAGCAGGTCCCTGCTGCTAGCGCTGGCGGGGTCGGGCGAGAAGGGCTCCACGGCCCGCCAGGTGTGCCGCTGGCAGTGGCTGCGGGGCATCCACCCCGAGCGACCGCAGCGCAGCCCCCGGGCATACACCCACCCGCGGGACTCCACCTGAGCGACGGGGACGCCGACGACGACTCCGACGACGACGCCGCCGACGACGCTGACGACGCCGCCGCCGACGCCGACGACGACGCCGAGGCCGACGACGACGACCTTACGCGAGAGGGCGCAGCGACTCCACGCCACGGCTCACGCGGGCCGCCCGCGTGGCACACCGCCCGGAGCGGGGGAGGCGCCCACGCGCGGCCTCACGCGGGAGGCTCTCGCGCGAGTGCTGGCGCAGGCGGCTCCGTTTCTGCCCCGCCGCTCACCCAGACCCCCGACGCCAGGATCTCTGTCCCCCAGAGGTCTCGACCTGCATTTGTTTGCCTCGACTCCCCTCCTCCTCCTCCTCCTCCTCCTCCTCCTCCCCCTCCTCCTCTTATTTCTCCGCCTCGAAAACTTCCCTCCTCTCGCCTCCTCTCCTCCTCCTCCTCCTCCTCCTCCTCCTCCTCCTCCTCCTCCTCCTCTGGATCCACTTAGCCGGCGCAGCGTTTCACCCTCCACTTCGCGTCGCTGCTGGAGACTGCGTTCCTGCCCACGCGCCGGACGGCGTATGGCTTGTGAGTGAGAACGGGAGGTCTCGACTCCTTGCCCGGGACCGCCTTTCATCCTAAGCAACTTTTTGGCGGTCCTGGGGGCCCGGCGAGGGCCCCCCAGAGGCCGAGCGCAGCGAAACCCCTCCCGTGGTGCTATTTCGAGGCCCGAGGGGTGGTCTGGGCGGTTTCCCCTGGGGCCGTAGGCGACCCGAGGAGGGGAGGGCGAGGAGGGCGAGGAGGAGGAGGGGGAGGGCGAGAAGGAGGAGGAGGGCGAGGAGGAGGAGGAGGAGGAGGAGGAGGAGGAGGAGGAGGAGGAGGAGGAGGAGGAGGAGGAGGAGGACGGGTCGCCTACGCCCTTCGGAGAAACCCTCCAGGGTGGTCTGGGCACCTCGCTCACGTACACGACGTCGCCCGCCTCCACGCCGAAGGCGTCGTCGCAACGCCACGCCGAGGTGGCCACAAAGTCGCCGGTGTCCGCGCCGCCCCCCGCGGGCGCGCCCTCGATGCGCCTGCGGCCCGCGGCGAGCGCGGAGGCCAGCGCGGAGGCGTGCGCGAAGGCCTGCGCAGAGGCCGCGGCGTCCTCGGCCGCCGAGCGCGGCGGGGGCGTGGCCGCGCTGCCCGGGCTCGAGCGGGCGGCGGTGGCGGCGGTGGAGGGCGTCTGGGGGCCCGTCCCCGCGCCCTCCGGCCGCTGTGGGCCCTGGCTCGGCTTTGTGTCGGCGGGCTTCGGCGCGGGGGGGGTCGCCGCACTGCCGGGGCTCTCGCGGGCGGCGCAGGCGGCGGTGCAGGGCGTCTGCGGGCTCGCCTCCCAGAGGTCCGATGTCTTGAATGCTCTCTTGTCGCCAGACCCCCTGGAGTCATGACAATAGTCAAGACGATTTTGTTGTTGTTGTTGTTGTTGCTGCTGCTATGCTCGGCCTCTGGGGGCCCTGGACGGGCCTCGGGGCCGCAAACGGAATTACTCAGGATGAAAAACTAGCCCCAGGGAGTGAGAGGAGACCTCTGGGGGTCGACGTCATGAACAAATCATGACGTCGGGTGTCTGGGTCCGGGGCCTCCGCTGAAGCCTCGACCCGTTTCCAAGGACCGGCTCTTCCTCCTGGGCCGCTTTTCGACGCTCCCGGAGCCTGGTGAGGGCCCGTGGGGCCGAACGTTGTGAAAAACATCCGTCCTAGTTTTTGTCCAAACGAGCTTGTTTTTGATATCCTAAGTCAACTGCGTAAGAGAACTGGTCTCGTGTACGCCCTCTATTTTGCGTCAAACTATGCCGATGGCCTCCTGTGGTGTTGCAATGGCTTCCTCTGAGATTGCAGCGGATCCCTCTGCTATTGCAAGGCCTCCGCTACTATTACAATGGCTCGCTCTGCTATGGCAATGGCTGCCTGTGGCTATCCCAATGGCGTCTCAAGAATTGCCCAGCAATCGTCAAACCCAGAACCAGAGTCGAATAGAGTAGAACAGAGAAGAGTCGACGAGTATAATGGAGTAGGATATGAGAAAGAAGAGCCGATCGAGCAGAGCAGAAAGTACAGCAGGGAAGATTAGGACTAGAGTAGAGTAGGAGTAAGTATTTTAGAGCAGACCAGGGTAGAGAAAGGCATCAGAAAGCAGAATCGGAGTATCCGCCACCGTGACCCGAGGCACGAGCCAGAGTGCCCCCAGGTGCAGCACGACAGAGAGGTGGGGGTGCTGGGCCAGAGCCCGTGGCCTTGCCCCCGTCGGAGCGCCCGTGGCACAGATCACTTCAATCCGGAGGACCCTTCTGTCAGGGGGACGTAAGACCTGGGTACAGGGGACTCGAAAATCCCCGACGAGGTCGTCAAAAAAATGAAGAGGCCGAGCCTGCATTTTGACGAGGCCTCCCGGCTGCAGACATCCCACGAAACTCCTCCTCGTCAAAATCCGCGGCGCGAACGTCAAAAAACGATGGCGAACCCGAGTCCTGGCAAACCCAGGTCTTACGCTCCCCCGCTTCTGGAAGGGCCACGACTCCAACTTCTTCACTCTCCCACGGCTTCCAGCGTGCCCCCCCCCCCGGGCCCCGGCGCGCCACCCCGCACGCTCTCTTCGGGCCCAGGATGGCCCCAAGACGGGCCACGAGCGTCCCAAGAGCAAGAGGGGCCCGGCCGGGTCGCCGAACGGTCTGTCCAAGCCGCCCAAGACTGCCTTGAAGACGGCTGGAGGGGGCGCCCAAGACGCCCGAAGGAAGGCCCAATATGCCCCCCCAGATGGTCACACGAGGCGAACACCGCTCAATTGCTTCAGGACTGCTTGCATTTCTAGGCCATGCAACTGTTCGGTCTCACGGTGCTCAAGACGGCCCAAGAAGCCCCCAAGGTCGCCCCAAGACGGCCCAACAGGCCCCCACGAGGACACCACACGACGGCCCGAGAGGGCCCCAAGACGGCCTCAAGTGGGGGAGCCCAAGCCCACGGTGCGAGCTTTCTGCCCCAAGATGCCCCCAGAAGACAATAGGAGGCCCCCAAGAGGCCCCTAATAAGCTCCCAAGACGCCCTAAGAGGCACCAAAACGGCCCCCAAGATGCATCAACGCGGCCTCCAAGAGGCCTCCCACGACACCCCAACGAACATCCAAGAGGCCTATGACCCACAACTCAAGCACGGTGGCGGGGTGGGCCGAAGGCCATTCGATCCGCCGCCCCCTGTCGATTCATCGCACGGGTGCCCGGCGTGCTAGGCCCTTGCGGTTTTGGTTCTTTTTCCTGGGGCTTCGGCCCGACCCGCCGGCCACCCGGAAAGATCTTCCAGATTGCCCAGAGGTGATTGCCAAGGGTTTTTCCTGCTCCAGACGGCTCCAAGACGGCCCAAGATGACCTCCAAGACGCCTCCAAGACGCCCAACATGGCCTCCAAGACGGCTCAGATGGCCCCAAGATGCCTCCAAGATGGCCCAAGATGCCTCCAAGGCAGCCTACGATAGCCTCAAGATGGTTCAGGACGGCCCAAGAGGCCCCCAAGAGCCCTCCAAGACGCCTCCAAGAGGTCCTCGAGGAGAGCCTGGAGAGGCCAAAATCATTGGTTTTCTTTAGGTTTTTGTAGGATTTTGGCATTTGCTTCTTTTCGGCTTTCCGAAGACCTCAAGACGGCCCAAGAGGCCCCCAAGATCGCCCCCAAATCGCTTACGAGGCTTTCAAGATGGCCCCATGACGGCCCAAGAAGCCCCCAACAAGGCCCCAGGAGGGCCTCAAGACGGCCCAAGAGGCCTCCAAGACGCCCAAGATGGCCTCCAAGACGGACCCGAAGCACCCCAAGAGAGCCCCAAGTCGGTTCAGAGAAGCCCCTAAGACGGCTCCCGACGGCGTCAGACGGGCCAGGCACACCATAAGACTGCCAAAGAAGCCCCCGAGAAGCCCCCAAATGGCCCCATGAGGCCCTCAAGAGGCCCCAAGAGAGCCCAAGATAGCCCCAACATGGTCCCCAAGACGGTCCCAAGATGGCCCAATCGAGCCCAAGAGTGCCTCAAAAGGCTCCGAAGAGGCATCCTCCCTCTTCTCCTTTTTCCTCCTTCTCCTCCTCCTCCTCCCCTTCCTCCCCCCCGCGTTCCCCGAAACCTTTCCAAACCGACTCGGGGAACACATGATCCGATAGCTTGGCCAAGCTCTAGCCCAGCTGTCGGACACATAGGCGCTTCCACAAAGGCAGGGGGCGGCGGTGATTCGCCGTAGGAGTCTGCGATAATATAGTACAGCATCGTAGTCGGAATTGTGTAGAGCAGGAAAATCGAATAGGGTAGATGGCAGAGCAGAGTCGGATCTGACAGAGTAGAGTAGAGTAGGGGTGGCGTAGATTCTACCCGAGTCGGGTAGAGTAGGTTAGGGTGGGGTGGATTATTAGAGTAGGGTAGAACCGAGTAGCGCAGAGTAGGGTAGATGGTATAGTAACGCCAGGTATGCTACGGTAGAGCAGAGTAGAGCAGCGTAGAGGACTGTATATTTGCTCAGAGTAGGAGTAGAGTCGGAATAGCGTATAGTAGGGCTTGATACATCGAATCAGGCCGAGTCGGTCAGGGTAGGATGCATTAGTGTAGAGTAGAATACAATCGAGTAGGTCAGATGGTAGAGTCGAGTCGGGTATAATAAAGTATAGTGGGGTAGAGTAAATGATAGGGTAGGGTCCAGTAGAGGAGATAATATCATACACTACTACAGTAGGGCAGATGAGTATGGTCGAGTAGAAAGCAGTCGAGTATAGCATGATAGAGTACATCCGAGCAGAAACAAGCATGAGTACAGTAGGGTAGGAGTAGAGTGGAGCAGGGTCGAGTGGAGCAGGTTAGAGTGGAACAGCATGGGGAAGATTGGGGTAGAGCAGAAGCGGGCAGACCAGAGCAGAGCGGAGCAGGGTGGAGCAGAGCACGCCCCAGTCCAGCCCAGCCTGCTCCAGTCCAGACTGCCTCGGTTCACTCCAGTCCGCTCCATCTCAGCCTTCTGATCTACAGCTGGAGTCTGCGCTGGGTGTCGCTCGCAAGGCATTGGGCGTCTGGCCTCCGCGCGCTCCTGCCGCAACTGGCCGTGGCTCGGCCCCGCGGCGGCAGGCGGCGCCGCGCCGCCGGCGCGCACCGCGGGCTGCGGCGCGCCGCGCTGGCACTCGTCCGCGGCGGCCTCGCCCTGCCGCCTGCGAAGCTCGCGGGCCACCTCGCGGGAGCGGCGAACATACAGTCGGACCCAGGCTTAGGTCGGGCGTGTCCTCCTATACAGGCGGGTTTTGGACGACAAATCAGTCATAGGAACAAGCATATTCCAAGACAGTCAAAAATAGTCGAAATATCGTCTCCGGAGTATTTTTGACTACTTTGGAATATTCCTCCTGTGGAAGGACACGCCCGACTTAAACCTAGGCCAGAAACACATTCCTCAAGAACGTGAGACCTGTAGCCGGCCAATACACATAGAACATACAAGGGCACCCTGTCCAGGATGCACAAGAACGTCCAACAAGCACGAAAAACACTAGGGTACCCTCTTCGAACCGACCTCGATCTTGTGCCTCGGTCATGCTTCATCTTGGCGGCGAGCCCAGGGGGGAAGTGAGAAAGGGCGCGCCTTCTCAGAAAACACGCGAAACAACGAATCTCCTAAGCCTCCCGCGAAAGCACGGACAACTTCTCGGAAGGCGCGAGGGCTTCTGAAGGGCCCCGCCGCTTTCTGCGAAGGTCCCCCTCGCCCGCCGCCGAATATCCACATCCACGCCCTCGCGGATGTGCGGTCGCACGGACACGCTCCGCGCGGGGCGCCCGCGGCAAACGCCCGCCGCACCCGCGGGGCCGCGGCCTATCCGGGTCCAGCCCGCGAGGCCGTGGAGACGGAGAGTGATGTCTTCGCCCACGACACCTCGCAGGACCCCCCGGGCGCGATGTGGTCTGCGTACGCGGCCACGGTGCCGGTCCAGCCGCAGCCGAGACCCAGCTGCCTCGCCCTGTTTGAGCAGGGACCGGCCGTCCTGGCATTCCTATAGGCCTACCACGACATGTTCTCAGAACCCAAGAATGCTCTAATAACAAAAACGCTGTTCTTAGAACAGAAACCCGATGTGTTAAAACAAGCCAGTCCCAGCCAGAAATGTTCAAAGAACATCTCGTGGAAACCAGAAAAGGTTCTTAGAACATGGTTTGGTAGGCCTATAGGCACGCCAGGACGCTTCGTCACTGCTTGACCTGTGGCCCGACGGCAGCGGGTCGTCGTCTGGATTCGGCAGGTCATCAGGGCTGCAGAAGGCGCAGCACACCTTGATGTCGGGGACGGCCAAGAGAGGGGCGTCCAAGAGGGGGGGGCGCGAATCATGGCCGG